GTTCTTGGAGCTGCTTTTTGTTCACAGTAAGCAGGAACAGTGTACCTAAACCACCTCACAATATATCACTCTCATTCACCGCACTTGGTTGTTAATATAGATAAAATAAAATGTAGGTATTCACCAGTTAGGCCTATTATCTCTAATCAAAACTGTCTTCCTGCTGGCCAGTTTTACACTGTTATATCCTCTGCAGTATCTTAATTGTCTTGTAGTAAAACCCCAGCCTGTGCTCTTTGTCTCTAGTAAATTTTGGCCTAGCCTGGCTACATATATTGTCCTGCTGCTGGCCAGTTTTACATTGCTGTATCAGGTGTGGTCTCCTTATAATAGCTGCATATAAATTGTCAAGGGGCAGGAAAGCTTTGCATTGGTGAAAACAGCTACAGTCACAGCGAACTTCTGCAAAAAGCCTATCTGCCATTCAAAGCGGGCCTGTTAGTATGTTTGAGTATAAAACATGTGTCGCTACTAAAGCCTTTTTTTCAAAACTAAAATAATCAGATTGGGGTACTGCTGTAAGCCTAGCTAAGGGCAAATTTAGAAAAAAAACACTTTCCAAAGCCAAATATACTGTACGCTGCCAGTGTACTTACTATGAAGAACACTGAAGTGCAGAGGTTTTATTTTACCATGGCCATGGGCCCCTTCTGGATTTTGGGTCCCCCAGATTTACAATCCATCACTGAGTCATACACAGTATAAACAAGGCAAGCCAAGGCTTAGAATAGAGAGACCAAAACAGACTGTATGACCACTCTGTATCATACATCAGGAACTAGCAACTAGAGTAGAGGAACCTGTCACTCTACCCCACTAGCAGTTTGGTTCTAGGTATAGGGACCCAGAGTAAGTGACCTATAATTACACAATTAATGCTCCATCAACAAAAGCTGGCAGCCAGAAGTATGCTGTGTTGGTGAAATGTATGCTGCCACTTGCAGCCTTGCTGTCCTAGGTCAAGGCTAGTTAGTGTTGAAGTGTTTATCACGGAAGGAGGAAAATCACTGTTTACCAATATTATTTTGGATAAGATGGACACGTTTACATCTGTTTAATCGGTGCTGGAGTGTTCTCTATCGCGGAAAAAGGAATGTCATGTTTTATCACTTTGATAAGATGGACATTCATTTACCTGCTTATTATGCAGTACTAACATTATTTGGCAGAGAATTGATGCTAGATATTATTTCTATTTTCGTCTTGCATATTTTCACATTGTTTGTATATTGAGGATCGTATTAAGACAACATCACTTTAGTCACATTATATTTATTGAACAGCGCAGTGCACTTTATATTTATATTCATAAGTGTTTGGATACACTAGGCACAGCAGCTCATGTTTTAATTTGATTTCTATCACAAACCACAGCGCAAATCTTTATATTAATAAGACATGGGAATGTTGCAAATCTTTTACAACTCTAAAACATGGGAGCCGGTGTTGATGAATGGTCACAAAGCTCCGATATTATGTTACTGGGGAACTTGGTCACAAGCATTTCCATTGTTTTTTGCTGATAACATATTATGTAACCTGCAAAATAGGTGTTATGCTTAGACCAGCCATTCACACCAACAATTAGCACCTTCTAGATTGAGAAATACAAACGTGTCTGCAGATTGGGTTCATATTCACCTGCAAGACATGTAACACTTTTCATCCGGGAGAAACATGTAAATGTACACTAGGAACAAACCTAAGCGCGCATGTCCTCCATGCTTATGTCATTTCAGCTAATTATCGCTTCACATTATTTGCATAAGAAAACTTGTGAAATGAATATCTCGGAGGGAATACTTAGCTGGTGTTGTTACATATGATCTGGTGTTTAGTGATAACACCTCCCCAGCCCCCAAAAGTGACATGCCACAATTATTTTCTGCTTATTTATGTATCTGATAAATTGACAGCTGGTTTTCTGCAATTATGGATTATATAACAAATAGCATTTTGGTGGACCAATGCTGCCATCACGTGGCAAAGATCAGTATTGCGTATCATCACAATGGAGATACTGTATATTGACATTTTGAAGTAAGTATATTACTATCAGTTATTTTTTCCAAAGGCCTTGCTACCAAATATAATTTGAGGTTACCAATAATTTTGTCCAGTCCACTTTTGAAGTTTTGCCTGGAATGTGTCAGATTTGGCTTTTTTTTCTCCCCTTTTTTGCCATACCAATACAAACACAAGAAATAAACACGGGAATGCCTACACATTTGTAATTGTAATTTTCTGCGCAAAGTGGTGCATTATCTGACAGAAATGCAGTGCTGCCAATATTTTTGGCCATGACTGTATATATATATTTTTTTAATGGAAAGCTGTGAACAAGATATATATTTATAGAGATTTTGGATGCATTTATTAATATGACAAATCAAAGGATAATGGTTCATTTAATTTTAGTATAGTGTTTATGCACAGCTAACCATCTCCTGCGTTCAACATTGCATCTAGAACTACTGCTTTATAGCGCCCATAGATCCGAAATATAGACATAATTATCTTGCTTGCATACAGCTGTTTCTGGCTTGTTGGTTGTTATCAGTGTAAGATATGAAAATATTAAAAGAGCAACAACTTAGAGGATTAGCTGTTTTAGATCCAGAGAAATGGTGGTGTTAGATTTTGGGGTGCCTCTGATACTTCTCAGAGCAGAAGTTACAAATGTCAAGTGTGGTGTTGCAGAGAGCTAACTTGGTACTCGGAATTAGTTTAGGAGTCAGTTCTGAAGGAATGCCCTTCTTGCTTTGAGGCATAGCTCTTGCAAGGTGCTAGCTGGGACTGCCAGGTGTAAATATTAAAAAAAAGTCCAATGCAGATTCAAAGGCAACCAAAAGAGCAAAACTGACAATACTTCACCTACATTGGCAGCCTGGATGGCTGAATTAGATTGAATCAGTCAGTATGAACACTTCATGTACTAGTTAAGAGGAGTTGGGAATTAATATAATTGACTACGGTCTCACTGGTCGACCTTCCGTACACCCCCTATGGATAAGTCTGATTAATATCCATATTATCTGTACTTTTTTCTAGTGCACCCTGCCTGAGCAATGAAGAATGGAATTGGCAACACTGTCTCACATCCCTCATGTTTAGAAGTTCTCCTTACATGTTACAAATTTTACAATTTCACTTTACTATACGTGCTATGGTCCTCTTTATATATTTAATCAGATGTGCCATTTTTTTTTCTTTCTCTCTTGCAATGTAATGATTGCAATTATATGTTCATAACTTCCTTGTTAAGCTCCATTGGTGTTGACTATTTGTGTCCCCTTCCATCTTGATCGGTTTACTGTTTGTTCTTTTGTATTTTTACTTATTTATTAAAAAATAATACAACTGATTTGACTTTAAAAAAATAGCAAAACTGCTCTTAAAAGTAACCCAAAAAGTACTAATATTTGAAAATACTTAAAACTAGGGATGCACCGATACCAGTTCAGATACCAGTGCCGATACTTAGCATTTTTATGAGAACTACCAGGGTTGCAGCAGTCGCAGCTTGGACCTGGCTCTGGTGCTCCACCACTCATTAGTTGAGAATGTTTTAGAAAAACCGTCAAATGCCAATCAACAAAAATGTATCAGTACTTGTATCTGTAGTACTTGGGCAAGTATCAGTACTTGTACTTGGAAAAATTGTACCAGTGCATCCCTTTGTTTATAAAAAACAAAATCATACATTAAAACAGAGATGTTTAAATCACAGGAGCTTTGTGTGCTCCTTACAAATGACAGCTGCCTCCCAACTTTTGAATTTTTCTCTAGTTAAGTCTTGGAGCTCGAAAAGTATCTGTACTTGTACTGAGTACGGTACTTGGTATCGGTGCATCCCTACTTAAAACAGTGCTAGTACTGACTGCATTGATAAAGCAACAATAATAAAGTAGTCAGTGGGCATACACAGTCAGTGATGTAAACAGGTTAATCTGCGCTTCTGGAGAGAGGTAGTGATTTGTGAACGGAATAAAATTAATTAAAGCTAAATAGATAAAAAATTATATATATATATATATATATATTAGCGCTTCGTTTTCATCGATCACAGTCAGTGATGGATGTGCCTTGATCCAGCTGGGTCTGTACAATGCCACAACATAAAATGGTCTGCACTCACTTCTTCAGTGGAAATATATATTTTTTCATTTTAAAATCCATAACAGTGGCATTACATAACAGCAAGTCTACAGCAGACATGATCGTGCAAGACATCTTTCCTTTTTCAAGATTGTCATTTTAAAGACCCTCAAAATCTCTGGAGAGATCCCCCAAAAATCTCCGAATCACCTGCTTTCCCGAGATCAGAGCATTCCACATTCATGTAACTTTGCTGTTTAGCCAGTTGCTTTAAGGAGGCTTGATAGCAAGAGTGTGCCTTATTCTTGGTATAGAGGAAGATGGGAATATAGTAGGATCGAAATATATCTATACTGTACCCAAAAACAAATGTTGAATGAATATATTGCAGCTTACCAGTCCTTAGATGCGGTGGCTGCATTAGTTGTTTTTTTCCAGATTCAGTACATTTTCTGAGAATACAGGACCTGTTGATTCTGATACAAATCCGGTATCCTTGTGACTTACTGTGTACTGAACTAAAATCTCAGACAAGGTTAACCAATGTTAGCCTTCCCAGCTATTTATTTTCCGCTGGCTTACCAGATAAGCCAGCGGAAAATAAAGGAACAAAAAACCTTAAAAGCAACCACTACATCTAAGGACTGGTAAGCTGTAATATATACTGTGCACTGTAAAAGAGAAGAAAAATAAAGAAAGTGGAAGGGCCAAGCTTGTAGGAAAATATTGCACCTCATTATGTGGTCTTTCTTTAAAAAAATATCCTGTGTTCTGATCATTTCCTGTATCAATTACAAACCTTCCCATTGACGCTGACATACATTCTTCAACATTAACATCTTGCCATTATTGTATAGTCATTCTGTACTGAAATGGCTAAAATGCAGTGTCATTGATTTTAGGTGTCCAACTCCTGGGTGTGATGGCTCTGGGCATATAACAGGAAACTATGCTTCACATAGAAGGTAGGTAGACATTGGCTTTCGTTACTCCAAGAAATCAAAAAAGGTCTAGTTTAATTAAAGCATTTTTGCATTGTTGAGAAGATACGTTCAAGATAAAAGAAATATGCAAACATTTATGTGGTGTGTACACATGACAGCATCCCCTTGAAACTAAAGGAATATGTATATTGGCATTCCCTTATAGAACCAAAGATAATGGAGTTTATTGAGCATTTAATGGTTTCTGGGTACGACGATCAGTCCATTTTCCCCTGTGGTGAACTGTGTGCTCAAATAACCCTCCAAACTGTAGCATGGATATAATCTGATATGTTAAACCTTATGAAAAGTCTGTACATACATATTGTTCTCAGCTTGTTAGAATTTACCATTGTCAGATTATAGGTGCAGCTTCCATGATTGGAGAAATAAGCTTAGAATTGTATTTCTGTCTCTATGGTCTAATCTCCAGATACAGCCTGCAGTATTTTATTGATGTGTGACATGGAGCAGATCTGTGTGGAGGGGTTGTTGAATTATGGGCTAAAATGGTTTTTCAATATCTTTTCTATGAGAATACTACATATAAAAATGTCTAGATGATTAGATAGTGTAACAGCGACCTCTTGATAGTGATCAGTAAACAGTGATCTCTGTAGAAAACCTTAATTTTCACTCTGCACTCCAATAACCAGCCACCTCCCGGAAGAAAAGTAGATACAATAAAAACATAAAGGGACCAATTTATAAAAACTAAAGCTGAAGTAGACGGGGAGCTGCTCCCTAAAGGAACCAGTTAGGTTTTGTCTTCAAAACAGAACTCTAGGCAGATACAAAAGTAAGACATTACTCTTTAAGGACCAGATGTCATTCTGGATGTCCAGGACAAGTTTAGCTGTGTCAAGATGCTTTGGTTAAGTTAACAATAACTATGACTAATTTATATATTTTATTAAGTTATGAATATATTTATTACTGTAATTGTATCTGACAATTACACCATTAAATACATACACACTGCCAACTTCAGGATGCATTGGATTAGGTTGTTGAAGTTGCTTCAACCTGCATGTGCTCTCTTTTTCTGACATAGTGATCACATGATCAGGAACCTCTCTGATTGGTACCAAATTGTTAGTGGGAGAGCTAGAAGCAGGGCAATGGGACAGCTAGCTCTCAAAGGGAGGACATTTAATATAGTGGGCTTCAGCTAGGTAATATTTTTTTTCAATGCAAGGAGTGTACATACCCTAATTTGATTTGGTATTAGCGTCTCACAATACTTGTACAACAGCACTCAAAGTTAGAGAGAGAGGGGCAGGTGAGCTCTATGCAAATGTACTGTACTACCAAGAAACATGTTGATAGGAGAGCAGGGTGAAGATATGGATCATGTCATTATCCTGTGGATACTTCTTAGCTGTCCAATCATTAGGCTGGAGGTAGAGATAGGACACCACTGTATACCTTCTACAGTATATAATGGTAAAAGTGAAAGTGGTGTCATCCACCTGGCTGTGCTTTGTGACTGGGTGTGTAAATCTCAGAACCGGGCAGAACAGAAATACATATTCTTTAGCAGGTAAAACAGCTCTCATATACACTATATTACCAAAAGTATTGGGACGCCTGCCTTTACACACACATGAACTTTAATGGCATCCCAGTCTTAGTCCGTAGGGTTCAATATTGAGTTGGCCCACCTTTTGCGGCTGTAACAGCTTCAAATCTTCTGGGAAGGCTGTCCCCAAGGTTAAGGAGTGTGTCTATGGGAATGTTTGACCATTCTTCCAGAAGCGCATTTGTGAGGTCAGGTACTGATGTTGGACGAGAAGGCCGGGCTCGCAGTTTCCACTCTAATTCATTCCAAAGGTGTTCTATCGCGTTGAGGTCAGGACTCTGTGCAGGCCAGTCAAGTTCCTCCACCCCAAACTCGCTCATCCATGTCTTTATGAACCTTGCTTTGTGCATTGATACACACTCATGTTGGAACAGGAAGAGGCCATCCCAAAACTGTTCCCACAAAGTTGGGAGCATGAAATTGTCCAAAATGTCTTGGTATGCTGATGCCTTAAGAGTTCCCTTCACTGGAACTAAGGGGCCAAGCCCAACCCCTGAAAAACAACCCCAGACTATAATCCCCCCTCACCAAACTTTACACTTGGCACAATGCAGTTCTCCTGGCAACCGCCAAACCCAGACATGTCCATTGGATTGCCAGACAGAGAAGCGTGATTTGTCACTCCAGAGAACACGTCCCCACTTCTCTAGAGTCCAGTGGCACCGTGCTTTACACCACTGCATCTGACGCTTTGCATTCCACTTGGTGATGTAAAGCCTGGATGCAGCTGCTCGGCCATGGAAATCCATTCCATGAAGCTCTCTACGCACTGTTGTTGTGCCAATCTGAAGGCCACACGAAGTTTGGAGGTGTGTAGCTATTGACTCTGCAGACAGTTGGCGACTTCTGCACACTGTGCACTTCAGCATGCGCTGACCCCGCTCTGTCATTTTACGTGGCCTACCACTTTTTGGCTGAGTTGCTGTTGTTCCCAGTTGCTTCCACTTTGTTCTAATACCACTAACAGTTGACTGTGGAATATTTAGTAGCAAGGAAATTTCACGGAACACCTGAATCCAATTATTTGGAGGGGTGTCCCAAAACATTTGGTAATATAGTGTATGTACTTAATCTGTTTTACTTAGCTGTGTGCCTGTAGTTCAGTTTTTATGTAAGAATAAAATAACAGTAACAGCACTTTTGTACTATTTCTTTCTTCCTATAGTTTCATAAATCACCCCCAAATTGTTTCAGGCATTGGACTAACTTTATGAAAAATGCAGCAGTACAGTGATGGTGTCTATAGAAACCAGTATTAGTTTGCCTATCATTCCCAAATAAAACAAGGATTCTGATTGGTCCACTCTGCCTTGTTGCAGTTTTTGATATGTTGGTCTCATTACAGAGATCCAATTGGTATGAAGGTGACCTGTAAATTGCATAGCTCCTGGAACACTGGCCATTCAAGTAGAGTGCACTTCTTCTTTGTGCCTTCTAAGACAAGATTTCCATCATTTAAACTTATAGCCATGCAAGCCTTGATGTTCAGATCAACACCCCTCTGTTAAGATCCGCTCCAGAAGATTTTTTGTCTTACAAGTACTTACTTGTTTGGGAATATTGTGACAATGTGCAAATAATTGTTTATGAGATGGTTGTATTTTATTGATAAAATAAACAATTTGTGGCCAGTGACAATATAGGCAAAAATCACCTCTTTCCAATTGCCACCTATAGGCACAAGCCTGCTATGCCTACCAGTAAATCTATCCCTGGTGCCTTCATGCCCCAGGAAATGCCAGGTCCAGTAAAAACATGTCCAACTTGAGCAAGATTTCAGTACATATTGCCTCTGTGGTAGTAAAGGTAAAAAGGGAAATGTGGTTGGTAATAGACATGTACATTTTGATTCATTCCAAATAGATATACACATTTTTGGGAAATTCGAATATTCAAATGCATGCAAATTTTCAAATTTGAACAAGTCTGAATGTTAATGTATCAGAATGTTCCTTTAACAAAAATTTGGATCTATACAAATTCAGTTCAAAATTCAACTAAATCAGACACATGACTGTTATCTGGTCAATCATATGGAGTTTTTTCGGCTGTTGAGGGTTGCATTACAATCACGGTCATGTGATTCATTCTAAAACGAAAACTCGTACGGCTACAAAATCTAAATAACGAACTGAATCAAATTTCGCATCAGAAATCTGAAAAACAAAAAAATAAAAATCCAAATTGATCCAAAATGAAATGAAACAATTTTTTTTGCGGGGTTACATGTCTAGTTGGTGATATTTGCATTGAGCAGGAAAGAGGAAGAGGAAGGTCACATGTACTGGCCACTTCACAGTTTACTTTCATACTGACTGGTCCCCTGAAACAAAAAGAACATTTGAACATAATCACAGAATATTGATTCAGAAATTAGTCTTTATGCTGCAAATAATAGTAAATGCTTTAAAATAAGAATCAGACTGCTCACGGATACAATATATCTCATTGAACCAAAAATAACTTGGAGTTTTATGGGTGTGAAAATCAATAAGATCAGAATTATTTTACACAATAATTGATGGAAACAATGTAATCAGCAATTTAGATATTAGATCCTGGTTCTTACACAAAGAAGGAATCAGATATAATTAAATTAAATTCTATTTACAGAAACACCAATATCTGTCCAGCAATTAATACATATTTCCCGCCAAAGAAAAAGGCAATCGGAAAACACAAATGAAAACAAGTCAATTAATGAAGTAAAACAATTAAATGAGTAACAACAAACTAATAGGAAAATCCATCTCGATCCTGCAAACACATATCTGTTTTTTTTTTATAACTTGCTGAAAAAAAGGCAGTAATGTAGCGAACACACAGCAGATAAAATTGTGGCCATGTGGCTAAAAGACCACAGACAGGTGTTGGGTGGGCATATCTGCACTTACAGTAGTTCAGAATGTACAGACAATATCCTGTTGCCTGACAACAAGCATTTTTTTCAGACTGGAGAGAGCTGAGTGGAGAATTCAGAAATACAGGTAAAAGTACACAAATAAGGTAAAAAATTATATAGAGGAAATAATATTTTTTAATGCTGCTGCATTTATTCTTAAAAAATATTAATTGAAAGGTGGAATTTCCCTTTAATGACTCTTTAGTGAATATTTGTACCTACCCCAGCCTTTCAGGTTGCCCAAGAGCAAAGAAAAGTGGAATTAAGATAGCACAAAGCAAAGAAGACAAAGAAGACCAAGAGCCAATCAGGTCAGTCAAGGTCATGCTTTAAAAAAGAGTGTACAGTGATCATTGGAAGATGTTACATTGGAAATGTAAAGGATATCTGTGAAACCTTGGATCTGAACCATATGGACAGTTTAGACAGGCAGGCCTACAGCATAAGAGTCCTTCTATGGGGTCTATTCACAAAGCAGCCTAAGGATCTAGCCGTAGCTTCGGCCGATCCTCCGGCTAGCTTCGGCCCCAGGACCCCATCGGTTCAGTAGAACCGAAGGGCTACTGTACAGGGCTATCCACTATAGCCCATACAGCTCCCGAACTTGGCCGAGCGGCTCAGTCGAGCCGAAGGCATATGCCTCGGCTCGGCTGAGTTGCGCTGAAAGCCGAAGCTGGCCGAGCGGCCGGCCATTGGCCGGCCGATAGCCTGCTTCTGACAGCTGGGCGGAACCAGGAACACTGATCTCCAGACAGCAAACTCTCCCGGGCGCTCCAGGAGTCTCCCGCTCCCTGCCACCAAGGAGAGAAACACTGCTTTTTCTTTTTCTCTCCTTGTCAGAATAGGAAAAAAATATTTTGGGCCATAGGAATGCATTGCAAGATTCCTATTGTCTATTGCAATTTGCAATAGCCAATAGCAAACTAGCATTGCACCCACCCTCTGCTGCAGTTCTCCATCAGGTCCCCACTACTGATTGACAGCAGAGGGCGGGTACAATAGCAAATAAGATACATTTTTGTTAATAGTTAGGATACCTAAATACATTTTTAAGATTTAACTCCTGAGTTTAGTGTCACTTTACCCTTTCTCCCTCTTATTTGGTTTACCATTATATAAGGTTTCAGATCTATGCATGCCATTGCAGTGTCTGTTATAATCCACGCATTATGGACACAAGAATGTTTCCAATTATAAATCTGCTATCAAAGATAAATATCAATTAGGATTAAACAAAAAATAAACCTTGTTTTTGCACTGCATATATTTGATATAGTAGATTGAACACAGCTAAGTAAACTAAGTAAACATTCACGGAAAAACTACAATGTTCACACCTTTAATAAATCAATCCCACAAATTCTGTGAATACAGCTTTCCTAAAAGAAAGCGAAGGCTCTGAACCCTAGCTATAGTTCTACTGACTGAGACAATCTTCCATATACAACATAAAGAGCTTTCTACATTTAATTGTTCTAAGCAGTACTGTACTTATGTCACCTAAAACCTAATAGCACATCTAATAGCTGCTTTTATTTTATATTTCTCACCTCCACTTCACTCTTAAAATAAAAGGTAACTTTATCTATGATTTCAGATCAATTAGGGACATTTCTTGCAGCATTAAATTGCTTTTTAGCCCCTAGAAAACAGAAGTCAAGCTGAGATCCCAGCTGTCTTTAATAATTGCCAATATTGTCAGCTAACATTTCTCAGCCTTTTATGTCTTCTAAATCTTACATCACCTAAACACCCTGCAGATAATATTTTACTACAGCAAAACCTTTTCAAACATTCAAAATTACCTACTGTATAGTGGGTACCGATTTTTAATTTTGGTGGTAATCTTTTTCTTAAAGTAGAACTCTAGGCAAATAAAAGATACAAATAAATGCAGTTCAGTAATCATTAATACAAATAAAGTAATTCCAGTTTTACTAGGATAAGTGAACTTTCTACTACTTTAGTAGATCAATGCCTTGGAGGTAGTTTGATCTTTGGTATTGCTACATGAAGGATCTCAGGGAAAACTACACTTTCAGATTTAAAGATTTTCAATGAGTAAATATGTTCAGTAATTTTGTTCATCTGAAAGTCATTTTGATGTGATTTTGACAATATTGTTTGTAAATATTATTTCAAATGTTCCATATATTCATAAGGGTATTTTTCTTACAGATGGGTCTATTCACGAAGCAGCCGAAGGATCTAGCCGTAGCTTCGGCTGATCCTTCGGCTAGCTTCGGCCCCAGGACCCCTTTTGGCTCAGTAGAAACGAAGGGCTGCTATAAGGGCTATTCACTATAGCCCGTACAGCTCCCGAACTTGGCCGAGTGGCTCAGTCGAGCGGAAGGCATATGCTTCGGCTCGACTGAGCCGAGGTGAAAGCCGAAGCTGGCAGAGTGGTCATTGGCCATGATCTTACGGCTGGCTACGGCCACTTGCAGAGAGATCAGCGTCCCTGGTTACCAGCTAGCCAGGGACACTGATCTCCATACAGCCCAACTCTCCTGGGTGCTCCGGGAGTCTCCCACTCCCGGCCGCCCAGGAGAGAAACACTGCTTTTTCTTTTTTTATTCAGACATTGAGCCGTTGGCTGTCGTCAGAATAATAAAAAAAAACGTCACCATAGGAATGCATTGATTCCTATTTGCTATTTCAATTTGCTATTTGCTAAACTAGCTATTGGACCCACCCACTGCTGCTGTCAATCAGCAGAGGGGACCTGCAGTTCTCCATCAGGTCCCCACTAGTGATTGACAGCAGCAGAGGGCGGGTGCATTAGCTAGTTTGCTATTGGCTATTGCAATTTGAAATAGCCAATAGGAATCTAGCAATGCATTCCTATGGCGAAAATGTTTTTTTTCTTTTCTATTGGCCGGCAGCAGAACCGCAGGCCAAAAGAAAACAGTTGGCCGGAGCTAGCTGTAACTGCTAGCTCCGCACAATCGTTTTCTATTTTACTTTTTTCACAATTTTTCTGTTCTGCTCAGTCCCACAGAGGGAGCGAGCAGAACAGCCGAGCCGAATGCCGTTCAGCGACATTCGGCTATTCACTCACTGCTGTTCGGCATCTATAAGAATAGACCGAACAGCAGCGAGTAGCCTGCCAGAGGTTCGGCTTAGCTTATCCAGATGTTGGATCGGCTGGGTCGCACTCCTTCTGCACTTCGGGTCGGCCGAACATGCTAAGCATGTTCGGCCGACCCGAAGCCATGCGAAGCCACCCAATGTACCCGTACCAGCCTGAAGTGAATAGCCGAACAGCGTTCGGCTCACTTCGCTTCAGGTCGGTCGTTCACTCGGCTGCCTACGGCAGCTTAGTGAATAGACCCCATAGTTTCAGATTCTCCTTCTAGTGGCTAAAATAGGGTATACACGGCTTCGAATTTCTAATAAACAAAATTAAGTTTGGAATGTTATTTCAACTTTCTAATCATTGCTGTGGTCAAATTGATGAATGACTTCGGCCGCAGTGGCAAAAAAAATTTTGAAGGAGCATGTTGGAAAATTTCTCAAGTTTTCTCGAGCAAACAAAATTCTAACAGTGAATGTGATTTTCATTCTGAAAACTCCTTTTATTCAAAGATCGAATGTTAAATAAAAATGAAAATCAAAAAAAAATTTGTATGACAGTCGCTAAGCCTCTGATGGCATTATCAAACGTTCCAACTGAATTTTTCGTACAAACGTTCGTATGAAAATATAATTTACTTAACTCTATAATGTATATGACACAAGAGCAATACCTATCCTTATGACTCCAGGGATAAAATCAGCTGTGCCTAACAATGCTTTTGGTCTGAGCAGTATAAAATAGACTTGTATTGAGAAAACGGAACAGTTAAGTAGCATATACACAGGTAGATTTTCTCACAAATGTTCATATGAAAAATCCCGTCGGGACGTTCCATAATATCTCTAGGGGCTTGGTGATTGTCATTTAAAATTTAATTTGATTTTTGTTTTAATTTAACATTTGATTTTGGAATGAATGGAGCTTTCCAAACAAAAACTACATTCACTGTTAGCATTTTGTTCAATCGAAAAACATTTTGCGACATGCTCTTTCAAACTTTTTTCGCCATTGCGGTCACAATTGATCATCAGTTTCACTGCTTCAACTCTTAGAAAGCCGAACGAACACTCCGAAATTTATTTAGTTTATTCAAAAGTCTAACTGTTTATACTCTACATAACACACAATCACTGTGCAGCCCTGGTAAGCTGAAAACACAGCCTCAATATGTAATGAGAAAATATGTCTTCCTCCATATGCATATATAATTGAAAAATATATATAGAATTGCTTTATAAAATACTAACATACATTGACATAAACATATACATTAAAGGAATTGTAATATATATATACATTCGGGGGGGGGGGGGGAGCTTTTCTGTCTAATTTTCAACTCTTACCTGAGCAAACTGAAGAGGGAAGCTGATTGATTGCCATGGGCAACTGCTCCAGAGACTGTCTGCTCCAGCTTGAATAAATTCCCCCCCTATGTTTTTTTATGTATAGGATTGAGATGCAGCATTTAAAAGAATTCATATTTACTATTTATAGTGAGCAAGTGGTGCAAATGAAGCAGGTGTTTACATTGTTGCTCATTCATTTACCGCTTTGCTGTAGCTACCTAGTATAATTGGACCTCCTTCTACTGCTACATACAGTTAAACAACATAGACACCATTGTCCCTAACCCCTTCCATGCCTCCAGCTCATATGGAGTTATATGAATTCTCTGTTAAAGAGAGAAAGTCAAAGGTCATCAGGCATTGCTGAGCTTTCTTATTTGATAGCCCAGTTTGTTCTGCAACCAAAGTTTAGTGGAAGCACTCTGCATTAAATGCTTATTTTTGAAATTACCTTTAAGCTGATCATCAATATCTAAAAGCTTTAACATACTACATATTACCTTTAAGTGGAAAATCAATAACACTCAAGTCTAACCCAAACATAGGTACACAAAGATAGCATATACCTAACCTAATTTCTTTAAAAACTGCATTGGAGTTTGCTTGAAAGAAAATTATTAATTCAATTCCTGTATTCCTATTTACTAGATGCCCAGTCCCTGGCTGTGATGGTCAAGGTCACGTGACGGGGAAGTATGCATCACATCGCAGTGCATCTGGATGTCCACTGGCGGCCAAGAGGCAGAAAGATGGCTACTTGAATGGTTCACAGTTCTCATGGAAATCTGGAAAAACTGAAGGAATGTCTTGTCCCACTCCTGGATGTGATGGTTCTGGACACATTAGTGGGAGTTTTCTTACACATCGGAGGTAAGTTGTCTGTTTTATGAAAGCCAACTATAGAGTACAACAGCCCCACATTTTGACATTATGTTCTGTTTTTTAGGTAAATGTTCTGGCATCATTGTGTATTCCTAAAATTACATGTATACATTTGTTAAAAATTAGATTCTATAATAAGTGCTAGACACCAGAGGGTTGATTTTTTAGAAAGAAATAGGGAATTTTTCCTTAGCTTAGTAAATGTGGTGAAAATTCATTTTGCAAAGCATACCCAATCAGGGGCAAGGAAATGTAAAAAAAAAAAAAAACAGTATTTACTTGCACTTGATGGGATGATGAAAGTCAACACACTTCAGCTCATTCCCTAAGCTAAGGGGAAAAATTCCCTTGCAAAGTGAACTGCCTATTTGCCTTTAGTAAATCAACCCCTAGATATCTAATATTAGACATAAATGCCATACAACCTTGTTTTATCCAAATTGGCTCCTTATATGAGAATTGATCTTTCCATTTCAAAGTTATCAGCTACCAAATACAATCAACATTACAAATTATGTGATGGAATTGAAATTAAGGTTCTACATTGATAAAAACAAATGCTATAGATTTCATGAAATTACTTATTTCATATGTCTCCTCATCCAAGCTTAATAGTTGTTTACTTGGTTAAATGATTTACGTTGTTCAACTTAAAGTGACACTAAACTCAGGAGTTAAATCTTAAAAATGCATTCAGGTACCTTAACTATTAACAATTATGTATCTTATTTGTGTATCACTCGGCTGTAGATCCTCCAATCATCTCTGAATTGGTGATGACACTCTCCTTCCTTCTGGACGGTGGCTACTTATGTTCCCCATAGCCCCTGAGTGTGTTGTAAAGTAGCCACCGCTCCACACTCACTCCCGTGATGCACTACAATCTCAATATAAATGATTAAACTAAATGTGAGATTGTAGTCCATCATGGGAGTGAGCTTGGAGTGGTGACTACTTTACAACACACACAGGGACCATGGGGAACACAAGTAGCCCCCCTCCAGAAGGAAGGACAGTGTCAGCACCAATTCAGAGATGATTGGAGGATCTACAGCCGAGTGATACAAAGATAAGATACATGTTTGGTAATAGTTAAGGTACTTGAATGTATTTTTAAGATTTAACTCCTAAGTTTAGTGTCACTTTAAGTGGAACATGATAAAAGATTTTACCAAGTAGACAACAGTTTAAGTTGGATGTGGAGACACGAAATAAGAAATTATAATGAAATCTGTAGGATTTGTTTTGTTAACGTTCATGGTATCCAATTTCAAAACGCAAACTGCATCTATAGATTATTAAATATGTTTAATGAAGATGCCAAAGAAACATTATTAAGATCTACTTACTAACTTTACAATATAAACTTTATTGTAGTTTATCAGGCTGTCCAAGAGCCACATCAGCAATGAAGAAGGCCAGATTATCAGGAGAAGAAATGATGACTATAAAGCAGAGAGCAACCAATGGTATTATTTTGTTTTTGTTTTAAGATAAAGTAATAAAGCAAGTTTCAGGCAAACAATATACTGAATACCCTGCACTGTACTGAATTTAAGCAGTAGTGTGTGCTATGATATGGGCCACAAAATGAATCAATATCAATATCAATCAATATCAATGAAAATCCATGTTCCATTCTGTTTTTTAAAACAGCAGTTTTTTTTTGTTTCTGATTAAATGTAAATATTTTTAAAACAACTATTTTATTTTCTTGAACTCAGAATCTGGTCTCTGGTGTCTTAACACAGCAACTACATTGTTTTATTTTTAAATCTAGTTATTTTTAAAACAACTATTTCACTATCTGTAGTATGAATGGTGACAATATGTTAACAAGCTTTTAGACATTAGGCAGTCATAAAAGGTATGAAAGTAAAAAAATAAAATCTTAATCTGTACTCGGGCATCCTATTATTTTTTCATGCTACTGTCATTGGTTTTCTCTTTATTACAATTTTCATCTGAAAAAATATATATGTTGCTGCTTGTGTCCCCATTGTAGATTTCCCCTCCCTTCCTGCCTGGTGAGACCATTGTCATCTTAGCAGGAAGAAAGGGAAATCTTTCTAACAAAGGCACAGATAATACAATTACATGGGTGTTCTATTCCTTTATCACTCTTTCCATGCTAAAATGAATCAAGACTTGTTCTATTTGGTTACATTAAATCAATTGAAAAAAAAACATCAATAGTTATTTTTTCTTTCAATTTAAAACTGAAGTTGAGTATGTGTATATTTTGCCCTCCCTGGTCTCTCTTTTCCCACTGCATTAACATGCAATTTTTTTGAACTTTTTGTTTTCATTATATACCTTATTTTAGATCCATTGACATCATTGGGTCTCTATGCTTCTCTATATAATGCAGGCAGCTTCCTGATAACATAAGAGCACCCTGTCTTAGTACTCCTCTCAAGAGCCCTCAGTTCTGATGCAAGCAGTGGGTTAGCACTGGGGGGAGTTATGCAAATATCAAAATGCCTTGATGAGTGGGTGTCAGTTTGGAGGAGTTGGCATTCCTAGGCAGACTGCATTTGTATGCAGACCACCTAGGTAACACCCAAATGTGATACTGAGCCTCCATGATTGAAAGAACTAAAATTCAATGACTCAAAGGGCCTGGCCAGGAGCAGTAAGGCTGGGGAGGAAAGAGCTAGATAGAGCTAGGCATCCTCCATTCAGGAAATGAGGTGGACTCTATCTGACTTTCTGTAGTTGATAGTGTAGGTTGCGGAGAAGCTCACAGTGTGCAGTGAGCAATTTCAGTCAAGGAGAGGAACCGGTACAACTGTGCAAAACCGAATAGAAGGCTGGAGCTTCACCAAAAATGGAATTGAAAGGTGTATATACTGGTTGGATTATCACATGTATAGCCAGTATTTATGCCTGTTTTTTAAAAAAAAGCAATTTGGCTTATTGGTCCTCCAAGTTTCAGCAACTGATACAAAACTGTTAATTGGTTATCTGCAGAGATGTAAACAAATCTTCTATTAGAAACTACACAAATGGTTTTGTTCAGACCTTCTTTGTCTATAAATGCTATAATCTTTTATTCAGTCCTAACCGTAATTTCAATTGTGTTAGTAATAAGGCAACATGTTGCAAGTCTATTAGACTCTTCTCTTTTAATATCCTCCAGGTATAGAAAATGATGAGGAGATCAAACAATTGGATGAAGAAATAAAAGAACTAAATGAATCTAACTCCCAAATGGAATCTGATATGATTAAGCTGAGAACTCAGGTAACAGTTTTCTATAAACAGTATTGCAAATGTCTTATTTAGTTAATTTAAATAGAATATTATTACGACTAGTATTGCCAAGAAAGCATACAGCTCTGCTATGTATTAATTTCCTATATGAGATGCCACTAACTTATTAATCTAAAAAAAACACACACAAAAAAATGTAAAAACAGACAGTAAAGCTTTTATTCTCATACTCACCCATACTTCATGCATGCAAAGTTCATTCTTTTGAAGTGAAGTTCACCTTTGCCATCAAGGGTCGAACTTCACTTGTGGTTAACGTAACATGGGTAGGCCAGGTGATCAGCACAATAGCATACGCCATGTAAGCATTGTGATGCTAAAACTCGATTACCATTTGTCATTTAACATTTTTTTTTTCTTAAAGCCTGCACTGTTTCTTTGTGCATGTGCATGAAATGTCCGGATTACATCTCTATGTGACATATACGTGAGTGCATCTGTACTTTTGTAAATACCGTTTTCTGTGGCCACATGTTCATGCTGGCTGCATGGTATTCATCAACCGAAACATCAAAAGATAGATAAAGTCAGATCGGGGGGAAAAATAAAAATACATGGAGGGTAAGGGTGAGGATGAGAACCTTCTTGTTAAGTGTTGCATTCAAGTGTATGGGATGAACTCACCATAACTGCAAATTGGCACAAGGAAAAAAAACCAAAGAGTTCAGTTAAATAAAAAAATAAATAATGTCTGTAGACTTCGGATTATTGACGATAAATGCAGAATGACAGTTTTGCTTGTGTAATAGAATTTAGTGATTATGATTTTATCATATAAAGAGGTGGAACTTAACTGCACACATTAATGATCAATTAGAAAAAAATTAACTTCAAGTATATATCTCTCAAGCTTTACACGACCCTTATCTAAGCTGGTTTTTTTTTTCTCCTAGTGGATCTGTTAGCCTAGTCTGATGGCTAGTCTAACACATATCTAAATATTTATATTTGGTTTCCAAGATTGATCCCTATTGGACATTCACATACAGTTCCACCTCTTTGGCTTCATTCTCTGCCCCCTTTTCAGCTTCTGCTCCCTCCCACTAGGTACTGGACGAGCGTCCTGTTGCTTGCCAAGATCCCTGTGTTGATGAATACCAATTTCATGTAAGTTACACGGGAGGGGAGGTTGTGTGGTTTTTCCATGTAACTTACACGAAATTCAGCCTTTGAAGAATAAAAGTTGTCCATAAGTAGAACTTTTGTTTTTATCTACTAGCACCACACAGCTTACATTAAAAACACAGCTACAAAACAACACTTTGCAGAGCAGATTTTAGGTTGTGAATTTGTTATGCGTTTTAGGTGAACATAAAGGAAGAAGGTAGGGCACTGCTGTGTGTCAGTGGTTAAATATCACAACGCAGTATTTATTGACTGAGGTGTACGACAATTAAATAATTACAGCTATGTTTCTTGGAATATACTTACCAGCATTGCTACATTAAGATTAACAGTGACTATTGGAAAGTTTAGACTGAAGCTGACCATATACCTTTAGATGTATCTCGTTCAGCCCGCTCATTCAGTTAATTCCCCTATCCATGCTAAACAGCATGCATGAAAGAATCCTATGGCTGCTGAGAGTCATTTATTATTAAGCTGGTCATACACTACTCAAATTTAGGCCGATTCTTGCTGAGTCGGCCAAAATTCCAACTGTAGATGGCCCCGTCTGCACCACCCGGGTCAACCAATGTTGATTTTCTAGTTGCCTTTTATCAAAGGAGTCAGGTAAAAAATGACCAGCTGAACAGTGACTGCATTTGATTGCATGACAATTGTATACCAGACTCCTTTGATAAAAAGCAATTGGAAAATCAACTTTGGTCTACCCCGGTGGTGCATATGGGGCCATCTACAGTTGGAATTTTGGCCGACTCAGCAAGAATCGGCCTAAATTTGATCAGTGTATGACCAGCTTGAGCGTGCTGATAATGATTGACCTTCATTTAGTTTTTTGAATGTGGTGAAGTTGTGCTGACTTCAATCATCCAATCATGTGCAAGAAATTCATTTTTCTTTGACATGATTTGGTATTCTTTGTAAAGTGAATTTTCACCTTGTCTGACCTCATTCACTAAGAAGGGTGAACATTCACTTTTGCAAAGTGATATGTTCTGCTCCTTTAGTACAGGACCCCTATTGTGTGTATCCATAGCTCCCAACTTTCACCTTCCAGCACAATGTACTTAGGCAATGGGCACACCCCTTCCACTCCCCCAGTTATGTGGACCATTAAAAATGTATATGCCAAAAATGATTGGTTAAACCCAGAATTGTTTTTTTTTTCCACCATTAGTTTTCCTTTATACCGGCTTTTCGAAATAGCAAACAAAATGATTAATCAGTTTTAGTGCCTGATACACTTACAGGGTTATTCGCAAAAGGGTGAAGACTTTGGAGAAGGCAGGAGAAGTGAATAATCTAGGACAAAATAGCTGAACTGGAAACCAGAATTTTTCCAAATCAGCTATGTTGTCCTAGATTGTTCACTTCTCATGCCTTCTCCAAACTCTTCACACTTTTGTGACTAGCCCCTGTTAGTGGCAAGTTAAAGCACAGTTATGATGGAGGGTGGTTGGAGTTTCCTTAAAATATACATCAGTTATAAAGGTCTCTTTAGTGTCACATTGTGCCAGAAAAAGATGTCATAAAAACCACTTGGCACGGGCATGCAACACTCACATCAACAACTATGCTGTTAATACATATTGTCTTGTTCATTTAGACCTAATCTGATTTGTAACTGTATAGACAACCTCAGTCAATTCTTTCAGAGCAATCTTATGCAAGTTATATTTTATTGTGCTGGAAAAAAGCCATAGGTGGTGAGAAATGAAAAATGTAGCATTTTAAAATGTAAGTATGACATTTGCCAGAACATATAACCTTACACAGAGTTCAGCTTTATGACTAGCAGAAAGGGGAAAAATAACTTGAAACTAGAGAAATGACAGGTGCAATTTGATAGGCTGCTCCGAACAATGCCTCCATTTTCTTTGCTCCAATATTTATATTAACAAGTAAGACAGGCTGTCTGTAAAGGACCCATAGCATGCTTTTACAATCTTTAAGGTTGAGGCCAGTAAGTTACAATACTTTTAAATAAAGTGTATACAAAGGTATAAATTAAGCACCATGAACTAGCTAGGCAAGTTTAAAACACAAAATGAGGTCAGGTAAATTCAGATATGAATAGGTAGATTCAGAATTCAGAAATCCTACACATGATGTTGTCTAAATCTAACTCTTTAATAGTTAATTGATCATGTAGATAGTAAGACTGAGCCATCACACAAATGTTTTCTAATCATAGAATTAACTTGGTTAGGTAGACATCACATTGATAGCTGTGTTGGTAAAGGCACGACGGTGTGTAATGGTCTCTGTTGTGTTTTGTGCCTGGCTGTGCTTTTTAGATTACAACAATGGAGAGTAACCTGAAGACAATAGAAGAAGAGAATAAAGTCATTGAACAGCAAAACGAGTCTCTTCTTCATGAACTGGCCAATCTTAGTCAGTCTCTAATTCACAGTCTAGCTAATATCCAGCTGCCCCATATGGTAAGTGAATTATCAAATATCTTTATATTTACATAAGTTTTTTTATCTTCTTTTATCCTAGTTTTCTGGAGATCCCTCTAAAATTTTATTTACCCAGCATCATGACCGCCTTGAGGCTTTTCCTTTAACAGCTTGTGACAGTCAAATAATGAAGCAAATATTGCTATTTCAAAATGAATCTGTTAATAACTGGCCATGGTATGAAAATGCCTTTCATGACAGAACTATATATCATCAGCTAGGCGGTGAGGGTGGAACATGTGGCTGACTGATGGCAGTCTTCTCCAATTTATGCAGCCATCACACAACCAAATGTTTTCTGCTTAAACACTAAAATGTTTGGATCTGTATATCCAGCCAGAAAACCCTGTTAGCATGCAAGTTTTAGCCCAAAATCTGCAAGTATCTGGTAGTTAAGCCGGCAAGTTAAATCTTGTTAAGGTCCCACTGTGTCATAAATGTTTCAAAATGAGACAGTTACTCATTTAATTGTTTCAAAATTTGTTCAAATGCTTGTTAGTTAAAACACTAAAATGGGGCATGGGCATGAACTGGCGCCCTACCTTTTGAGGATAGCAACCTCACTCCATTGACCTTCTCAGCATAAACTTAGTGATCAGATTCTGCGATGCAGAACTGGAAAAGGGGGATATGGCAGAACAATAATGGACCTGTACATAAGAGGTCATAATTAATTCATATTTTTAAGTCTTCATCCTATTTTTTGTCTTTATTCATGTTTTGTGCTAGAGTGGGCTCTGTTAATAGAGTGTTGGGTTTGTGGGAACTTATACTTCCATACATGATAGCCCATGCTTCTATAATAACTCCCACCAATTCTTAAAAAGATATCACATATTTTGCTCTAAGATGTACATTTAGAATGCCCAAGGATCCAAACATTTGTGTTTTTCTCTGTTGAGCTACATTCACCTAACTTCCTCTTGCAACCAGAATGAGTAGGTCAGTTGACTCCCACCTTATTTTCTTTAGGATACCCTGCCCTAATAGCAGCAGTATGTTAAATAGTCAGCTAACAGCCCCTTGGAAAGTTCAGATGAACTTGTAGTGAATTAGCCAATCTTTGAATTTGGTATCAACACAGATCAAGCTAGAATGTCTTGAGATACAGATTAGATTATAATGTTTTGCCCAGATTTAATAATTCACAATTAAATTACATGTTATTCAGGCCTACCTTCAAAGTGAACATTTAAGGACAATAATATGGAAGTTGCTATTTGTGACTTATTTTTAAAAGGCACAAACTCTGGGACTGTGATCTCTATGCTGAAATTATTGCTTAGTTACTAACTGACCTGATAGAAGACAGAGGCCAGGACTACATCATGCATGCATCATCATGCATCATACATCATACATGCTTGTTTCAGGACAGTGAAGTATTAGGTAGGTCATCCTGGTAGCAAATCCCATATTTATGTTGATATTGTAAAGGGTCGGTCCATCCAAAAGTAATATTTAAGTTGGTTTATGGTGGGTTTGCCCATGACTTATTGTTAGGTTTTGATATTATGAGTCTTTGTTACCATAATCCCTAACTCCTTCTTTACACCTGGGAGTTTTGGGTTCCAGCACCTCATTCTGCATTCTCCTTAACAAAAAATCCTACAGGTAGAGTGGCATATCCAGAGTGGTAGGCAATGGCAGCATTCATACTTTCCTATTAAAGATTTGCTTTAAAAGACCAGTGTTGAGCTAGTGGTTCATGTGCCATACATAAATAGTGCTGCCTGTAATGGAGAGGTAAGTACAATGAATAATTGGGGACATTAAAAGTTAGGTATCTTCAGCTTTTGAAAATCAAAGCATGCACAGCTCAGGAAGAATCTCCATATAATTTTCTGATAATCTGTAAGACATTCACATAGTGTAATTATCAGGAACACTATCATAACTTTTATGTAAACTCACTTGTATTTTATGTGTAGTAGCCATTAATTTACTCCCCATGAACTATATCTGTGGTCTGCTCCTCTTCTCTCTCATTAGCTCATCCCATGCACATCTTCAGGATTTCTCTAGGGCTGAACCTCTTCTTTGGAATTCATGATCAAGCTTGTTTGCTGCATCCCTCATTGTTACTGCACTTGTCAATCGATCAGTCATGTCTCCTTTCTTCAGAGACTCCTCCAACCCTTAGTGCTGTTAGTGTGAAGCTGCCTGGTTCACCTTGCCGTCATATAAATCCTAATTTTCTCCTCACTGCCACTTATGATCTGGAACTGTGTGGATGGTGTGATTTCTCAAAAACATGCATTTTCCTTTTCACTGTCTTTTTCAGATTGTGAGCTCTTGAGAGCAGAATCACTTCATCATCTGTGACCATCTGTATTTGTCTGTAAAATATTGTACATTATTTTCGAGAATGTCAGAAGTGTGATGTGATAATAAAAAACATACCGCAATGTAATAGAAATGTATAATTCCCGACCTTTTCGTTTTAAAGCTTTGAACATGTCCTTTTCCTCTTGTATGTGTAATGTATACCTTACAACTACAGGTGGCTCTACCTCAACCCGCTGGTGCAAATAAACTAACTCAAAGGCATTCGTGATATCTAAACACCAATTTCACAAATATTCAATCATACACAGTACAATGTGCATTTTAAAACAAGACCTTTCTTGCTTACCTTAAAAAAAAAAAAAAATATATATATATACAAAAACACCTTTTAAAAATGATCCCCCATAACCCAGTAAACATCATTGCCTATTTTGTTTTTGATCAGGGTTTTAGTATAAAATGTACTAAAGCCCCTCACTGAGCTCCCAGAGTTCTTTTATAATACAGCAAGCTACAAAAGAAGCCTTAAAGGAGAACTATGAGGTGAGTGCTTTTTACTCACCTCATAGTTCTAGCCGACCTGTGACAATGAGATTATGATTTTTTATTTTTTTAATGTCATTTTTCAGTATTTTTTTTTCGAATTGTTTTTGTCTGTAGATTGTTTTGTTTTTTTTTTAATATCCCGCCGGTTCCGCCCCCCTGCAACGCGTACGTTCGCAAGCGACGGAACTAGGAAGATGGAAGCCAGCATCGGCCGCAGAACACAGCGCGGCTCGAGGGACAAGGTAAGTAAATGCAATGCGGCTTTCCCAAGTGTAGCTCGGGGTTACCGCTTATGGTATGGAAAAGTAACCCCAAGCTACACTCGGGAATACCGCCAGGGAGGTTAAAGGAGAACTATGAACGGTGTGAAAATCACTCATCCTCATGGTTTGAGCCAATGTGTGACAATGAAACTGTCACACGTTGGCTCAATAGATCGGGAAGTGACCATCTCTCGCTCACTTCTCGATCATCTCCCTGCAGAGAGAGGTGACTGTCAGTCACCTCTCCCTGCAGGGATTCCCCCTCCCCGCTCCGATCCTCCAGCGCTGAGAGGAGGAACTGATGGGAGAGGGGACGGGTACAGCTGGCTTTACCTGTAGATAGGCAGAGCCCGCTGTCACTCACGCAGCTGGGTGGATCTCGACAGCATTGTCAGGATCCGTCCCGGCTGCGTCGGTCTCAGTATACCGCAAGCTGTAGCTCGAGATATACTAAGCTTTGGGTCACGGGAGGACGCTAGTATATGTCCTCCCGTGACTCCTAACCTCCCTGGCGGTATTCCCGAGTGTGGCTCAGGGTTAATTTTCATTACCAAGAGCGGCAACCCCGAGCCACACTCGGGATTACACAAGTGTCACTTACCTTGTCCCTACCAGCCCGCAGTGTCCTCTGCTGTACGTGGCTGGCCTAAACCGGCATCTGACTTTTACTATTGTTTTTGGCGTCACAGCTTGGGGCGGAGCCGGCAGGAAATTCAAAAGTGAAAAGATGCAATGTACACAGAATACACACAATACAATGTAATCTGCTATGATTACATTTATGTATCAAATCATTTCACTTCAATTTTGTCCCTAGAGCTTTGTCCAGTGCCCTGCCTGCACTTTTACTGTTCTTTCTGCCTGGAAACTTGAGAACGTCCATGGCATCCAAAAAGCGTCCCTTTAGGTCAAAAGCGGTTTTAGACCAGGTAGAAAACAGCAATAGTAAATTAGAATCACTTGCAGAATTGAGCGTTAGCGATTCGTTGGGAAATTCGTCATCAGACACTGAAAGTGACGACAGCGACAATTCTGCGACCGAGCTCAGTGATGTCCGAACTTGGTACTCTATTGACTGTGGTACGGATCAGGCAACGCCCCTAGAATTCCCATTTACTGGACCATTTTTTACATTATTATATTATAATTTTTTATAATTATTTATTACATTATAATTTATTATTTCGTGTTTCAAACTTAATCATACCTGGGATGTCTACTGGACTCTTGTTTGACAGATTTAGGTGAGTTATTCCTAAGATTTACTAAGAATTACAGGCCTACAATATAAAACAACAAATTGCCACCGCCAGGGAGGTTAAGAGAACTATGGGAAAAAACATTTACCTCGCTTTTAAAGAATTGTCCTTTTCTCCTATTGAACAATTTTATGTATATGAAAGCACAAAGCCGCTGTTCAAAGAAATACTTTCTGTTTCTATAAATGAACAATTGTACTTTCCATAGGTTGAAGCAACGCTTTGCTACATTTGTAATTGATCGAACCAGTCCTCAGTTTGATATGCTGCTGAAGGCACTAGCAGATTACATTACTCCCGATATACGCCCTTTTTTATTGTACCCTGAATGTACTTTATTAGAAAGACTGGAATTCACCAGGGTTCCACAGCTATGCTACATCAACTATTGTTCCACAACTCTGGACTACAATCTCAATACAAATTAGTAAACTAAACATGAGATTGTAGTCCATCACAGGAGCGAGCTTGGAACGGTGACTACTTTACAACTCACAGGGACCATCGGGAAAAAAAGTAGCCCCCTCCAGAAGGAAGGACAGTGTCAACACTAATCTAGAGATAATTTGAGGATCTACAGCTGAGTGATACACAAATAAGATGCATTTTTGTTAATAGTTAA